CAGGTTTTAATATCATGGGTTGGATTGGGAGTGTGTGTCAGAGAGGGCACGTATGAGTGGCAGGCACGTCTGCATTGCAGGTGGGTTGCACTGCTGAAGTCGCAGTGCTGCTGCTGCTGCCATCATCACGGGCTTGTTGTTGAGTGCGACACTGCATACACAGCCGTCTCCCCAGCCCCGGGTGCGCACTGTAGATGTAGATCTTGTAGGTCTCCGCCTTGGAGACCTTCTTCTTCTTGGCCTTGCCGTCCGCGGCCTTCTTGGCCGGGCCCTTCTTCGCCGGACCCTTCTCGCCGACCTTGGGGGCCATGGTTGCTGGTTCAGGTGAAAGTCGTGATGAGTGAGGGTGGTCAGGGACGCGTCTGATGTGATCGAAGGCTTGAGGGGGTTATGAGGCGGCAATAGAGAGCAGCAGCTTCGGGCAGCTGCCCGCCTGTTTCAAAGCCCCGCGAGGGAATGCAGCACGAAGCTGGACTGTCCCCGTTTGCTTTATAAGGTCCAGTCGTGCCGCACGTCTGCAGACACTCTCCATCGCACCTTGCACACCACGAATCTTCAAGCCAACACATCACCTGAACCATGTCGGGCCGCGGCAAGGGCAAGTCGGGCAAGAAGCCGGTGTCCCGCAGCTCCAAGGCCGGTGAGAGGCTCAAATGAGAAGCATGGCAGCTTGTCCTGCCAGCTACATGGCACTCAGGGAACGCGTTGCTGCTGGCACTGTTGTTGACCGCCGGGCTGCACCTTGACAGCACGCAACAGCGGCAATGCTGCGTGCCTGTGCATGGCTGTGGTGAATTGCACATTCCAGCATCACATGCATGGTAAACTCACGCTTCCACTGTGTTTGAACATCTATCTGACAGGGCTGCAGTTCCCCGTGGGCCGTATCGCCCGCTTCCTGAAGAAGGGCCGGTACGCCACCCGCATCGGCGCGGGTGCGCCCGTCTACCTGGCCGCCGTGCTCGAGTACCTCGCCGCTGAGGTGCTGGAGCTGTCAGGCAACGCGGCCCGCGACAACAAGAAGAACCGCATCGTGCCCCGCCACATCCAGCTGGCCATCCGCAACGATGAGGAGCTGTCCAAGCTGCTGGGCGGCGTGACCATCGCGTCTGGCGGCGTGCTGCCCAACATCCACGGCGTGCTGCTGCCCAAGACCAAGGGCAAGAAGGGCAAGGACGAGGCCGAGTAAAGCGGCGCGCCCGGACGCCGCTTGACGTGGCGCGCCTGCCCTGGCGCGCGCGTGCTTGCGCAACTCCCCAACAAAACGGTGGCTCTCGCCACCACCAACCCATGAATAATATTTGGTTGGGTCCTGTGCTCGCATGCGGCTTAACGGTGGTTGGTCTTGGTTGTGGTATCAGATTGGTGGCTGCGTAAACTGCAGTACTGCTGCCACGACGCAGCACAGACCACACCATCCTTGTAAGGGAACTGCGTGGTTTGTTGCTGCTCTTGCGCTGTGCTGTGCCCAGGTAAACCATGCATGTCTGCAGCGGTGTTCTTAATTTCCTTACTCAAAAGGACTCACATTTTGCTGGAAGTAAGTGCTTGGAAGAAAAATCCCTTTGAGCAAATTGTCACGCACTCCAGACATCCCAGCACTTGCCCCCAACAGCTTACAGGTTGAATGCATGTGTTGAGGCACAGCGTGCACTTCGATAACATCACACGCCATTTCATTCAGCTGTCATGCCGCCCTCGCCTCACAACTCCTGTTGGTTGCCAAAAATCCTGTGCAGTGAGGGTTTTGCAGGTACAGCTGCAACAACTCCATCCCCTCTGCTGACAGCCTGGCATCCGCGCCGCTGCCGCCCGCTACTGCTGCTGCTGTCGCTGCTGCCGTGGTCGCCAGCCCTGAAGGACGCCGCAGGGGAAAGTGAGTCACGGTGCCAAACCCCGCGTCCTTGAGGCATTGCTCGTACGTCTCCTTGGGCCACTGGAAGTTCAGCACCCGCTCATTGCCAAAACAGAACACCACATGCCTCGGCCAGCTTTCTGCCCCGCCGACGGCCGGGGAGCTCGCCCCTGCCTCGCCGCGTCCGCCATCCCTGCCGCCAACCTCTGATCCTGCCCCGTCGCCGTCCTGCACCGCCCCCAGCTCTGCCAAGTCGCGCGCATTTGGCCTCTGCGAGTCGAAGCCCCATGCGCTTAGCATGAGCGCCGACTGCCGCGGCTGCGGGCGGTACTCCCCAGAGACCGTGAGGACCAGCGCCGCGCCGCCCGGGCGCACGTTGCGGGCGAGGAACGCGCACATGCGGCGCAGCTCTGCCTCGGTCTTGGCCATCTGGAGCACGTAGATGCATATGGCGAGATCGAAAGGGGCGCCTGCGTGTTTGGCGACAGGATTGGCGGGGGGAGGGCAGATGCGTATGGCGGGCGCTCGGGCGAGCACAAGCGCAGAGGCAGTGCCTGCAGGGGGAGGGTCGCTCGGTAGATTGAGGTGTGTGCAAGCCATCATGTAGGACGGTGCGTGGCGTACGGACGGCCTGCGCTCAACTTCTGATGAACGCCAAATAGTGGCGCAATGCTAGGGACGGGGCGTCACCCACCTGGAAGGTTTTCTGCACTAGCAGGATCTGCCAGGTCGCGCACATAGTAGTTCATGCCTGCGCCCCCTTCCTGGCGCGCTTTCTCAATCAAATGGGCTGAAGAGTCGCAGCCCACTACCACCGCTGCACCCAGTTCCCGCAGGCGCCGCGCCAACCGGCCCTCGCCACACCCGGCGTCGAGGGCGGAGAAGGGCAGGCCGGCAAGACCAGCGGCCTTCAAAGCATCCACAAGCGTCTGGTGCTCGAGATCCCAAAAGACAACTTGCCCGTGGCTGCGATCTACGAGGGCAGCATAGTTACCCGCAGTGGATGGCTCCTGGTAAGCCATTGTTGTTTGTATCGAACACCAAGCCGAAGATTGAATGGATGCAATCATGAGCGGCTGCTCATAGCGTTCCATAATGTACAGTCAGATTGCTTGTATTCTGGGCGCCCGGCGCCCGGCGCCGCCCTCAGAGGCTGCCTCCCACTCTGCGTCATGTATTGCACATAAGGTTTGGGCACACGACTCCAAGGTAGTTGAGGTATACTTTGGTTTCCATCCGCTGCCAAGAAATGCCTTGATTGATTTTCTGAAGGTGCGCGAAGTTGGTCAACCGCGCACCACATGCTGAAAGTTGACCGCCACGCGCTCGCGATGAGTTGTTCAAATTCAGTGCGCCGTCGTGTATGCAGCACAGTGTAACAAGCCAGGCCACGAGCACGCAGTGCCGCAGGGGTTTGCATTGTTGCATGCTGTAGCGCATATGGGACGCAGCTGTGCTGCATTTGCAGCGAGCATAGCCACTGCCGCAGGCCCCAGTTCCTCGGACCCTGGGGTGCTTGCCTGGCCCCCGCGCTCTTTGGCCCTTGAGTGTCTATCACTGCAGCCCATACGAGGGGAGAACTTTTGCAGCATAGAATGCTGCTACGACCCACGCCTTGACGTGCATACCCTCATCCAGCAGGCCGACACCGCGACCTGCTCGCATAGAGCTGCCCCGTCGCCCTCCACCCTTGCACCAGATTGCCGCTGACCGCAGCCACTTGAGTCCTAGGCTGGCACCAGATGCAGCTTCGCCAGCAGATGCAGCAGATGGCCGCAACTATGCGGCCGCCAATATGCATACATTTGGCAAACAACTTGAGAGCCAGTTGATGAAAAGCATGCGTGCCCAATCCATCCAGCCAGACACTGTGTACCATCAGCTGTGTACCATCACGTGACCTGTGTGGAGCTCATGTGCAATAGGGCAGGCGCCCGGTGGCGGTAGTCAGCACAAGTGGGTGGGCTCCCCGCTGCAGCCGCCACCGCCATCACTGACACTGCCCAGGCCGCCCCGCATCCCGCAAATGAGGCCCGTCCCCACCCCCAAGGGCCTTCCAGCCCCCTGCGACAGCTGGCAGCAGCGTACGCGCTGCCTGTGCTTGCAGCCTTGTCAGTTACGCGCCACAGCGCTCCCCGAACTGACCACCTGGGCGCACCGTACGTTTGCAAGAATGCACCCCAAGTCTCCCAACTCCGAACAGACAGCGCCTGCCAATAGCTTGTGACGAAGGGCAGGATGGTTTGGCGCAGCAAGCATGCCTGCCGCTTACCCATTGTATCGCATGCCAATACCAGCCGCTTGAATCAATGCGTTAGCGTCATGCACATGGGAGCATGCTCGCCTCTGGTGCGGGGCGTGCGTGCGAGAGTTTGTGCCTGCATGACTGTGGGTGTCTGTATGTTTGAGGCTCAACACAGAGAGTGTAAGTCCTTATTTATCACGCCCTTGGTAATAGCACGCACCTTCCAGGCATGCTCCCATGGTGCAGCACAGGCGCTGCCTCAATGTCCCACTTCTGCTGGCGCGAAACTGCATTGAAGCAGCCCATCGATGAGCGAGCGTGCGAGCGAGCGTGCGTCTGAGGTCTGGTCATCCCCGCGTGCACCAATCGCTTTCTAATCATCGAGTCTCTTGATTGCGTCTGTTATACCTCTTCAAGCGTAGCCTCCGACAACCGAATCACACCACGCGAGCCCTTGTCCCACGCAGGCCCCGCTTTGCACACGGCCCCACAACTGTACAAGTCAGCTGAAGTAAACGACAAGGCCTTGACGCCGACGAGTGTGACCCACGCGGCCCCCGCATCATCAGAGGCCAGCAGCACGAACCTCTTGCGAGGGAGGGCCCGTAGCAGCCCAGCAGTGTGTGCTCGATAACAACATACGTATCTCAAAACACCCCCTCGAAAGGCACCCCACGTGGCTTTTGTTTTCGCGGGAGGGCAGCGGCGTTGAACAAACCCGCAGTAGAACACCGCCAGTAATAGTGGGAGTCCGTACCACGCTCAAAGCAGTTTTATGGGACCGGCGGTGGCCTGCTCGCCGCCGACCTCGGTGGCGCGCAGCCCGGCGCTACCGATTGCAAGGGGCGCCGCACGGCTCGTCCCGTGCGCGCGCATCTCCAATGACGGAGGCGCAGTGACAGCCGAGCGCCGCAGCGAGGACGGCGCATCGCCCCTGCTGCGTCCCTCGGCGCGCTTCAGCTTCTCCAGCAAGAGCTGCACGCCGGCGTCCCGCAGCCAGTCCGCCGCATCCGCCTCCGCCGCGGCGGGCGGCTCCCTCCGCTCCCGCCCGCCGGCGGGGCCGTCTGCCGTCAAGGCGCAGAACGTGCTCATCGGGTTCGATGCCCCCTCGGAAACCCACGCCCCACCAAAAGGGGCGCCACCATCGCCGGGGCGTCGCGAGACCAGCCTGCTGAGCATCGCGCTGTCAGACCTGCCGCCAGGGTCCTCTGGCGGCGGCGCCGCAGCCGCTGCTGGCTCGGCGTTCTCGCCTGCACTCGATCTGTTCGGCACCACGTCGCCGTCCGGCGGCTTCCTGCGGCGCCAGGTGCGGTGCGGGCGCGGGCGCGAGCTCGGGCGCGGGCGCGGGCGCTTTCGAGCGGCCAGCAGCAGCATGCCGGCTGTAGCTGCCGGCTTGCAGGCTCACCCTCTTTGATGCACGGCCCCTGCCTCGCCTCGTGCGCCAGCTCCACCAACCACACACCAAATCAACCATAAACCCCTCCAGGACTCGTCCGAGCCCGACTTTGCCCAGCTCGATGCCCTCGCCGGCCAGCACCCCGTCATGGCCTCCCCCGTCGTCCGCGCCGCCTATGCCGCCGCGTCGCGCGCGCACGCGGGCCAGCTGCGCAAGAGCGGCGAGCCCGTGATATCGCACTGCCTGGCGACGGCCGCCATCCTGGCGGAGCTGGGGCTGCCCGAGGAGACCGTGGCCGCGGGCCTGCTGCACGACGTGCTGAGCGACACGCGCGTCACGGCCTGGCAGCTGGAGGAGCACGTGCCGCGCTCCTGCGTCGAGCTGGTGGGCGCGCGGGCCCGCGGGCAGCGGCTGCCAGCGCGCCGGTTCTGCTCCCGTGCTCGTCCTTGCCGACCGACGGGGCGTGCCCTCACACGTTCGCTGAGCCCTGCTTTCACCACGGCGGCTCTGATGCTGCACTGCCCGCCGCCCCATCCAACATGGCCCCCCGCCCCCACCCATCAACAGGTGGAGAAGGTGACGCGCCTGAGCGAGGTGTCCCAGCTGTACCGCGACAACGCGCACTCCCTTGAGGCGGCCTCCATCCTCCACATGCTGACGTCCATGTCTGACGTCAGCGCGCTGCTCGTCAAGCTCGCCGACCGCCTGCACAACATGCGCACCGTCGGCGCGCTCTCGCGCTGCAAGCAGGTGCGCACGTCGGCGCTGCGCGCGCGCCCGTCCAGCACCCCCTGGCGACCGTGCACGGCAAGAGTGTGAGGGCGCCGCAGCTAGTGCCGCAGCTAGTGCGGCACTGCAGCGCATGAAGCGCTGCCTGCTGCACCCCCTGCGTCGGCGGCCCTTTTTCCAGGGCCCTTTCTCATTGCTCATTTGGGCGCCCCCGCCGCACCAAAACCCCAGGTGCGCATGGCGAGCGAGACGCTGGACGTGTTTGCGGTGCTGGCCAACCGCCTTGGCGCGTGGAGCGTCAAGGCGGAGCTGGAGGACCTGGCCTTCAAGACGCTGCAGCCCGAGGACTATGAGCAGGTGCGCGGCCGCTGCCACACGCGCTGCCCGGGCAGCCAGCCGGCCCAACAAAGCCGACCCCTCGGGCAGCCAGCCGGCCCCACACAGCAGGCCGGCTGCGGCTGCGCGCCTGGGCCTGCACGTGGGAATGTCTAGCTTGCTGGGCACGCCCGCCTGGGCGCCCTGCGCCCGCACGCAGCTGGGCCCTGGGCGGCTTGCCGCGCTTGCGAATGCTGCAGGCCTGGGGCCGGCGCCTCTCAAGGCCGCTCTCCTCGTTCCGCTATCCAACGCCCTCGCGCATGCTTTGAAATGTGCCCGCCCGCCCGCCCGCCCACGCGCACACGCTCACGTGCGCGTACACGCCGCCGTCGCCCTGCGCCCGCAGGTCTTCCGCGCCGTTGCGGAGCGTGCGGCCCTCATCGACCTCCCTGCGCGCGTAGCCCAGGTCCGCGCCGCGCTGGCCGCGGCCGGCCTGGACGTGGTGGACGTCAGCGGCCGTGTGAAGAACATCTACGGCGTGTGGCGCAAGCTGCAGGCCGGCGGCCTGGGCGTGGACCGCATCGACGAGGTGTACGACGTGGCGGCGCTGAGGGTGGTGGTGCCGCACAAGCACGACTGCTACCGCGCACTGCGGGAGGTGGAGGGGCTCTGGGCGGCGGTGCCGGGGCGCTTCAAGGTGCGGCAGCGGGAGGGGTGGGGGCCGAGGGGGGTTGGGGGCGCGCGGGCCGGCTGGCTGGCCACACACCGGCTGGCCACACACCCCGGCGATGTGTGGCTTGGTGCTGGGCAGTCGGGTGGCTGGACTGCTGGCCTTGAACAGCGTCGGGGCAGCCACCTGAGTGCGCCCCACCTGACATGCCTGCAAGTTTCTGGCTGCTGCACGGATTGACTTCGCACCCAATGCGCCCCGCCCCAACAACAAGCCTTGCCGCCTCTTCTGCCTTGCTCCGAAACCAGCTGACCCCTGAAACCACGCCACCCCTGCACTCCCCTCACCCCCACCAGGACTATGTCCGCAACCGCAAGGGCAACGGCTACCAGAGCCTCCACACCACTGTCTTCACGGGTGCCGCTGACGCGGGAGCTGGCGCCGCCCCCGCCATCCAGGGCGCGGACGACCCCGCAACCGCCGCCGCCGCGGGCCTGCCCGTGCCCTCACTCTTGGAAGTCCAGGTGCGCGCCCGGCGGCTTGTGGATGATGCGCCGCGCGGCGCCCAGCCCGCGGCCGCGGGCATCCTGCCCGCCGCGCAACTGTGCGCGGCGGGCGGGGCCGGCGGGCCTCCGAGCGCGTGCGGCAGGCGCGCGGCATGCTCGGCCGGCGCCGGCTCCTTCGCACATGCAATACCCGGGCGCTGAATTAGCGGCATGCCCTCGACACAAGCACCGCCTGGCTGGCACCCCTTTCTCACCAGTTGCTGGGCTCCCCCTGACACGCCCTCCACCCGTTCCACCTCTCCCCCAGATCCGCACCCCCAAGATGCACTACATAGCCGAGTACGGCTTTGCCGCCCACTGGCGGTACAAGGAGAAGCTGTCCCGCGAGGACCTCTGGCTGGACCGCCTGGTGCAGTGGAAGAAGTGGGTAGCTGCCGAGAAGCTGCGCCTGCGGGACTCCAAGGTCCGCGAGGGCGGCAGCCCGCAGCGCGACCCGGTGCTCGCGGCGCTGATAGAGTCGCTGGCAGCCGCGTCGCCCGACGCGTCGCTCGACGACGCGCCTGCGGCGGCGGCCGCGCCGGCCGCGGCGCCGACG